CTCTCCCTTTTCCTCCCTCCCTCCTTCTCTTCCTCCTTTCCTTCCTTCCCTCAATTCCTGGCTTCCTCCCTCCTACCTTTTATTGTGGAGCACCTCACAGGGTAACTGTTCCATAGCATCTACTGTTGGATCAGCTCAATTTGTTAAATGTAAAACGAATGATATCCAGGCCAAACAAATGCCTGCCACACCCGGTTCCCTGTATATGGGCTGCATGCCTAATCCTAGCCAGCAGATCTGTGATCATGTGTTCTTATTCTCAAAGGACGCTAGTGAAGAAAATGCTTGTCAGCCTACAGTTTGCATTTATAACTTATATACAAATAATTCAAAGCAGATTCTCAACTGCCTGTAGGTCAGTAGTATCATAGTCATATAGAAGGACCAGTACACTGATTTTTAATATTCTACTATTAACAGAGACTGGGATTCTCAGTGTATTTCAAAGTTCATTGAGAGCTTGACAGCTGTGGGAAATGATGATCTCAGAATTCTTTTTCTGCCCTGTCCCAAACAGGATTAACACTAAAAAATTAGATGACAATTGCAGTTTGTTCTAAAGTCATCTATAATCCATTCTACCTAGATACCAGGTACAGCTGAATAAATGTTTAGAATATAAAATATTATGTGTATAAGATAGAATATAAAGGAAATTTGCCATCACATATTTATGTGATATAGGGCACATTTTTAATTTACACAAGAATAAAAATTTATTTTGTATAGGTTTGTTACTTTCCATATGCTTATTACAATGAAATATTTCATTTCATCAATAATTTAATTAATATTTGCTTACCAAAATGCAAACTTTAAAAAGGTGCTTTAACAATAAGTGGATTGAGCACACTGTCACAGAAAAATTAATTCATTTAAAAATAATATTTTGTATTAATTTTCAAATGTTGCATATATTTTCTAGACTCTAACCTCTAGGTGGCAGTAAACTGAGTTAGCCAAAAAATACTTTTGATATTTTCATTTTAAATTATCTCATTTTTAAATCTGGTCTTTGTGTGGCCTCTGGGCCTAATCTAGATTTCTTACGAAACCAGCATTTTCTTGAAGAATTCTGTCCTTTGACAGTTTTGTTGCTGGTGTTGTTCCAAAAGTAAACTAGAGAAATTTAAATTACTACAGATTTACAATGCCATCTATGATAATGCATTAAGAATTTTACAATGAATGAAAAGTATATTTTTATAGCTAACTATCCTCTGAGCAAGATGGAGGGAGTAACCACTTTTGAGAATGAATCAGATCCTTCTAGAAGAATACCCAGATTATAGAAAATCTGTCAGACATTATCAGTAATTTCCTTTTCTGGTATATGTCTTTACAAGATGAGGCATACTTGAAAATAACAATTAACTTTTGGTTTTAATTTTTAAATATTTCCTGTATGAAATAATTTAAACTATAAATATCAGAATCATGTACTGTAAATCTGTAGCTATGTCCTAATTTCAGACTTTGAAAGTTTGAATATTAAATTCATATTCAAAGTTGGTAATTATAAAGATGTGATTTAAAGATACTTTAACATATATGCTAGTTTAATATATAACTATACAAATAACTGCATGTACATACTTATACTCACCAGCACACAGATTTCCATGGTGATATGGACAAGAAAAGTCATCTTTTTCACAGTATTTTCCATACACTTTTCCAAGCTTAATTTTGTGACATAAACATTTCCCACAAATACAAACTCCTCTACCGCTGCAAGCAGGTTGATCCTTGTGTGACTTGCAACTTTCAGAAGGAAATTGATCTTCATCAAAATGACATTTATTCTCATCACACTGGAAGCACTTGGCATCTAGAAAAGTTTCTTCTACACACTTTCTTTTAGGTCCTCTGCTGTCATCACACCGACAGCTGCAGTTTCTATGTATATGAATTTTAGTGGTTTCATTGAAACCAATAGGTTTGATTATTGCATAGCTCTTTCCTTCCATGACATCACATTTTTCCATTGTAACTGTTACATTGAAAAGAACCTAAATTTTTGGGTGGGGAGGAAGGAAATATATTTATATGTCTTGATAATTTTTATTACCAATATTATATCTGTTAATAATATTTAAGTCAATAATATACCATCTTATAGAAATTAATATTTATAAATTACACATGCACTCTCATATGTAGACATAACATTCCTTTTTAATTTCATTTATTTCCTAATTAATGAACTGGAGAGTTAAAGGATGCAATGACTGAGACTTGCCTGTATTACAGCATTAAATGGACATGGGTTCAAGCCTACTTGAAATGTATACTCTACTTCCCATCATTAATTTATATCCTCAACTGACTTCTTAGTAAACTTGAGAGAGAATAGACCATTTTCTGGATTCAGTCCTTAACATGTGGAGTTACTGAATATATTTGGCACTAAAGTCAAGAGCTTCTGCTCTACTGGTTTAAAACCCTGAGATGAACAATTGTTGAAATGAACAATTTTTATTTTGTTTCTGTTTTCCAGGGTCCCAAGTAAGTTTTAGAGTTAAATTTTAGTTTATACATGGTGTTATGAAGAAAATATGGGGCTTTCCCTGATGTTACTCAAGGGAAAAAGATTTAGGATTCTCACTTTTAGATCTTAAGATCTCAATACAAGGTCATACATTTGTCTCACTGGAAGATGTTAGTCCACAACTAAGGATCTGGCCTGGCAGGAATTGGTTTCCTCCATGCAAACTACAGAATGTCTTTCTCCTGCCAAATTTTTCCTTTGTCTCTATTTTGCCTTCCTGTACAACACGTTTGGCTTAGTGTGTCTATTTATATTTGTTAACTCACCTTATGATCTTCAGGTACTTTGGCAAATAAGAAGGTTACATGTTTTTTTTTCCATGTTAGACTGAGATAAGTTATAATTTAAAAATACTTTGTGCTAGGCTTTTTGGTTGGGATGGAGTTAGATTAGATAGATAGATGATAATAGATATGGATGAATATATACAGATGGATATATATATGAATAGAGATTCGCACTCTCTCTCTCTCTCTAAATATATATGTGTATATAGATATAGATAGATAGATATCCATCCCAACCAGAAAGCCTAGCACAAATATACACAATGATATGAAAGGTCTAAATTTAGGTTTATACGTTTTATATATATATCCATTCGGAATTAGAATTAGTCTCATAATATTAAAATCAATACAGTTGGTGTCAGACTTGAAATGTTTTTTCTCTTTAAAAATATAAGGATTAACAGACTGTAGGATCATGTGGTCAACTGCCAATATTAATAGAGCAAAACTTGGGGTTTATATAATTAAGTGGTCAAATGACTCTTCCTTAGTCAAACTGTTAATACTACTTGGTTGAAAGTGAGGGAAAAAAAGGGATGTAGACAAAGAAAGAAAAAACAATGTAAGGAGTAAGGAAAACCATTCTGCCAAAATCGATTTTGAAAGAAAGAGCTACTTCTAAAAAGGTAACCTTTTCTCAGAAACTAACTTAGCACTATCTTTTGCTAGCACAGAGTTTCTCTATATTCAGTGGAAATTAAATATGTATTTTGTAAACTGGCATAAAATGTCTTTTGAACAAAATTCAAGGAGTGATTATGGAGGAGCCTACAGAATTTGAATTTGAAATAATTAATTTCAAATATACAGCTTGTTGGAACAACTATACTACCTGCAGATTCTAAACTTCCCAAGAGAGAAAATTATATTCTAACTAAAGAGAAGGAAGATTCTCCTTTATTCAACCTTAGAATACTAGGATTTTTAATCTCTTTCAATAACTTTTTTTCTTTTCGTCTATAGCATGATATTAAAATAATAACATCATAGAACCTTGGAGATGGATGGAGGTAGGATTGGAAATATTCTAGTTCTAGCTGTTTATTTAAAAATGAGGCAACTCATGCCTCAAGAGGTAAATGACTCACTGAAAATCACTTCATTCTACAAGAATTTCTTTTAAAAGCATATTTCTGTATATTTACTTTCTATTGTGCCAATCCTGGGAGAATCTGTATCTTCCCCAGTCTTATTTCCTGATGCTGCTATAATCCGGATCTCTCTTTTCCATATTTCATTCCCTTTTAGTTAAATGATGACCCTTTTTTGTTGTTGTTGTTGTTCTTAACAAATTTCCCTACCTCGTAGGTCATTGTATTGAGATAATACAAGTGTACTGGGACAATCACAAAGTGAAAGATTTTGTAATTCTTAATCTTTATCAACAGCATTCTTCTCTGTCGTTTTTACTTTCAACTTTCACATTTACTCTGAGAATTTTCAGATTTGAAACGAAAAGGTATTATCATCATCCTAAGTATAGGCACTTCTTGTTTGAGGAGATATGATTTCCTAACATTCACTGGCTGTGTCATCTAAGTTTAAAGTTATTATTATTAAATAATTATTTAATATGATATATATTTATTTATTTTAACTAGAGAGTTTGAGAAAACAGTCAATGGAGTTACAACAAGTAGGAACTTAGGGATTAGATAATAAAAGTTACTTTGAAGTGTACATGAGATTCTTGAGGTCGGTAGTAAAAAAAGTTTTTCTGAATGGTTTGATTTTTCTGTAAGAAAGCATGCCAAACAACTTAGTTTACTTTAAATGGGAAAAACGCACACGCACATACTTCGTCATTGCTTGTCACATTTCCGCATCCGTCTGTGCCTGGCTTTCTGCTCCCATCTGGACAGATGGCAGTAATGTTAAAATAGATGCCTTTTATCTGGTTTTCCACCTGAACTTTCACTTCTGAAATGAGTTTCTGCAGAGATGACATTTTTTAGTTGTATACTATAGCAGTTTCTAATGTAAGCAACAAAACAGAGTCAAGTTTATCATGTCATTCTAGATTTAATTTTTAACTAAATCAAAGAGTTTGTCTCTGTAAAATGTCGATTAAAAACAGTGTTTCCACATAATGACCCAATTACATTTGAAATACATAAAAAATACTGAAGGATTATCTTCATTTAAATGGCTCTATTTTTTCACATATTTCCATGACTGCATTTTGATCACTTCAGAGATATTTCTCACTCAGCCTGTTAGGAAAATAATCATTTTAATCCAATAACATTTATATTTTTTGGTAAAATTTAAATAAAGCATTGAGAATACATATATCATCACAGAGGCTAAATCTTGACAGCTTAAAATCTGGAACATGCTTCTGACATTTACAGCTGTTAAAGAAGCATTTCCGTTTCAAACACTTTAGACTATCATGAAAGCTAAACTGCCTTATTGATACAGAATTGAAAGGTCAATTTTTGGGAGGGCATTTCTATACTGTAGGTATAAGAAATACCTGCCAGTTATGGCTCTATAAATTCTCCAAGAATGGCCTAGAATTTTTGCCAAATCCCTGGGGCTTGCTTATGTCAATCAAATTTGTTCCAATCCTTAATACTGAAATAGGGCCCCTTACTGGGCAGAAAATCATTTGCTCATTTATTCACTAATTTATATAATCATTCAAAAAACATGTATTGCCTATTCTGTATCAAGCACATCCTAATTTCATCCAATCTCTGAGTTCCAAAAGTTCTAGCTACATTAAATATATTCTGTAGATCTGTGTGAATTTCATCTCACAAAACTAAGAGTCTATCACATGCAGAAATCCTTAACTTATTTTTGTAAGCAAAAGGAAAGGGAAAAGATGAAGTATGTACCTAAGGAAAGAGAGAGTAGCAGGGGATG